GGCCGGGGCCCGGCCCGGTTCCTCGCGCCCCTGAGGCCTCCCGGGGGCTTTTTGCGAGCCCCTGGGCTGGGCTGAGTGTGAAGGACCTGGTTTGGGATGGATTCGGCTCTAGCTGAAGGATATTTCAGGAGCTGGGGGGTTCCCTGCCCGGTTGTCCGGCGTTATTGCCACGGTCCCATCCCTAGGTTGCCCGCAGCAGAGTCTCAGGCATCAAAGTTAGAAAAAGTGATAATAATGTATTAAATGGTAGAACAGCAAGGTCAGCCCAAGCTGAGTGCCTCCAGAGAGGGACCCCTAGCCAAGAAATTCTGGGGCAGTGACACCCTTAAAAACTATTCACCTGCCCTCACGCTGTTCATGCGACTCTTGGTCCAATTATGACTTTGGGTCTGGGGTCTTCTAACACCTCCTTGGATTCTCCCTCTGTCTCTGGGCAGGCTGTCAGTTGTTCTTATCTTGATGAGTTGCACTTGCTGCTCATGGTTGTAGCTTTGAAGCCTCCATATCTCCTAGTCTGGGGGTTTTTTTAGCAGAATACGAGAAACTGTGAAAGTCCCCAACTTAGGATAAAAAGTTCTGAACTTAGGATTAGTGTGTGGCCAGAACACTTAGCCATAACCACAACTTCAGTGTGTTACCTGCATTATTCTCACACTAAAAACCCAAACCACAGCACGCTGTACCAACTCCTGAAAGGAAAAACATTCCCAAGTGGGAATTTATGGCTTGTGGCCTCAAGCTTCAGCCAGTCTCGCTACTTGTTGAGTAAGTAAAGTTCTGTCAACAGCATACTACATCCTTATAACTCTGAATGATTCATTCTATTTAAAACTTACTCATTTAAGCTAAACAACTAATATTTCTTAACAACCTGAGCTGAGGAGCCCCTCAACAGTGGTTGTGAACAGCCTCGAATGAGTAGCGTTACCCATGAGTGACTTCTGAAACGCCTTCTCAAGGAAACTTCTGTCAGGAGTGTGAGGGAAGGCATAATGCATAAATTGTCTCATTATTTTTACTTTGATATAGACAGATTCCCTTTTTCCTGCCTGTATGAAAAGGTCAGTCACTTCCGGAGCGTCAGAAATCTCTGGTTGGTGGCGTATGGGCTGATGATACAGAGCATGGTACAGGAATATTCCTTTTTGGTTTGCCCCAGGTCGTTTCACTAGTGCTTGCTGAAGTTCCTGTGTGATTTTTACCCCTCGCCCAAGCTAGAATTTTACAGCATTGCTTTCTTCAGGTCTAGAGGTGAAGTTCCTTAATGAGAAGGATTAGAATGTCTGGCTGCTTGATTTTCTTCGGACCAGGCAAGACTCAACAGTCTTGTGAATGTTTGTTAAATAAATTTGTTTTGGGGATTTCTTTAAAAACGTTCTATTTTTCTCTGTTGTGGCAGGTAAGGGCCTTTAGACAGCCAGTGAATAGGTCCAGTGACTGTGGTGATCACTTACCCTGACGCTCAGATGGAAATATTTTCTGCTGCTAGGGAGAAGCTCAGAGACTTTCCTGGACGTGGGCCTTTTTGTGGGGAGCAAAGAGCCTGACCCAGTGCCTGGCAGAAGTGTAGGACAACTTGGGAGGGACTAGGAGCCGACAAGCTGCAGTTAACTCTGCTGCTGGTGTGAGCAATCCCCTTTGTTGTTTAACGGTAGTTCTGCAGAGGGTTTCTGAGGTGTTATCAGCAGTTTTGCCGCCAGAGAGAGGTCTATGATAAGAATTTGCCTTCCGGTTGCGCTGTTACTGATGTGTGGTAAATCATACGGGGTTTAAGTCATCTCCCTGATGGTTATGTCACTGTTCCTCCGCGGTTTTGGCAGGATCAGCTCCGTTTTCATGGAACCATCGCTAATGCAAACTTTATTTTTGAGCATTTAATTTTATGCTTATGGGAAGTGCTTGTAGTCATGAGCTCACGTTCTGTGCACTCTCCTGTGTGCCCCGGGTGGATTTTTTTCCAATCTTTCACTCCCACAGGCGTGTAATCCTTTCATATTTTTGAATTTCCATTTCTTCTTGCCTCATTGTGAAATTGGAAAGCCTTGTCTGGGCTTTGTGCTGGTGATGTTGGATTTCTAAGAAAAATGCCCTTAGAAAGGACGGGGTCGGTAAGCAGTTTGGGATCCAAGTCGTTGCACTGACAGAGTTGTAGCACGTAAGTGAAGTGTGGCTATTATTTTATTGACTTTGAAAACACAAGATTAAATACCATGTTTTCAAAGAATCCTTTTTGGAGGCAGATTTGGTCACCTGCATTTCATTTGTTTGCTCTTAGCCTTTAATTCGTGCACTCTCAGTGAGGGACTTCAGAAATCCTGCCGTGAATTCTGTTTTGTTTGCCAGCGGTATATGAAAAATGCAAATCTGTGTCTCTGCAGCAGGTTGTTTCGGCCGCTGGCTGTTACAGGCGTGAAGCCAGCTGCTGACAACTCGCTCTCGGTAATCCTTCATGCTGAAATGTGCAGGTGCTGTAGGTCCTCGCGAAGAACAGCTCCGTTTCAGTGCGATGCTGAGGCTTGTAGCTCTGGCTGCAGCATTCGCTGACACACAAGGTAATTGTTAAAAATTGTAGAAGCCAGAAATGTGACCAACTGGCAGATAGTATTGCTGGGAAATTGGGATTGCCCTGCTGCTGCTATGTGCAAGAGCAGAGCATTTCTTTTTTTAAGCGGGCTTCTCAGTGGTTTCTGCAGCAGGAGTTCCCTCTTGCTGCTCCGTGTCCGCCTCCCAGCTGTGCTGGCTTTTGGTTGAGGTGCTGAAGGGACGCTTGTTGGGTTTCCCGGAATCAGCAGCATCTCTACTGCGTGATGGAATGAACCCTAAAGAAGAGAAGGACCTTGTCTGCAGTGCCCCAAAAAGTGGTGCAACTTCAATCTTTCCCTTGTCTTGCAAATTTTAATGCTCCCAGGCTACCTGGGGGAGGTTGGCTGTGGGCTTCAGGTACTTTGGGGAAGCGAGGGCCGGGCAGATGAGCTGTTTCACTCAAGGCCACTCAGAGAGTTCATCCAGGCTGTAAATACGATATCAGCCTTCCAGGCTGGCAGACATGTGCTTAGTTGGATGGATCATACCGTTACACAGCTACAGGCTGAGCCACCTGCATGTTTGGGGGGGTTTGCCCAGACAGCTGCCCCTTGCTGGATCATCGTCCACGGAAAGCAGTGGAAATGCCACTTTCCAAAGTCAGTTGAAGCATTCAGGACAAAATCTGGAGGAAACACAAGACAATCTTCCCCTGACCCCCAGGAGGGAAGTGGGATGGATGGTTTTCATTCTGATTTTTGTGACCGAGACCAGTGTGTTTGTCGTTCCTTGCACTGTTTGTCCAAACCCCTTTTGATTTGTTTTCCTCTTTCTATCCCTCAGTTGTTCCTGCTGTTTACACCATTTACATGGGAAAAGATAAGTATGAAAGTAAGTACATTAACGATGCCTAAGGGCTTAGATTTAGACTTGTGGGGATTTAAGGTCATTTTGAAAGGATGTCTTTGTATGTGTTAATATGCTGTTGGAAAGCTTGTCTGCCCTTGCAAGTGATTCTGACTTATCCCTCTGAAATCCACTGGGTGGATCGACTTTTAGTTAGGATAAATGAATTTTGTAAATCCTCTAGGCAGAGTAACTGCCTTCAAATACAAGTGAAAACTAAATTAACTGAAAAAAAATTTATCTAGAGAAAAATACTGGTTTTCAGGTTGCATTTGATAACTTTTTGAAAAGCAGCCTTCCGTTTCCCTGCTCAGTCTGTATTTTTCCCCTTTCCACTGCGCAGGTTTCCTGTGCCCATCCCTTCCCTCACGGTGAAGGTTCTGGTTCTGCTCACCTCCCGTTTCCACGTCAGTAGCCAGGGTGTCTCGCTCCAGTGTGGCTGTTTGGAAGACTTGCCCTGAAAGTTTCCTCCTATATATTTGAAGAAACATATTTTCACTTAAATTTCAGAACGATGTGTTGGAGGTGGTGCTCCTGCCATACCTGGAGCAGGCGAGCGTTAAAGCCCTCTTCTCCTCCTGCTCGCTCACCGTGCAGTGGCTGACCAGCAGCACAGGATTCCTGCTCGGCGGCAGGGAGTTGGGTTTGTTGTTGGTCAGTTCCTGGGCTTTGCTCACTGATACTTTTGTTCCCACAGATGAAGACCTCATAAAGTACGGCTGGCCTGAAGATATCTGGTATGTACTGAAACAAATTGCCTTTCGTTACGCAACTGAGTCTAATGATCGTGACAACCCTCTCGCTTCCGCAGACGCCGTAGAGTCTCTTTTTTCCAAGGCCACTTGGCCGTTTAGATGCAGTCCCAGGGTGGAGACGGATTGCAGAAGACCCAGGTGCAGATTTTGGGACTCTGGTTCTGAATTCATTCCCCTGCGTCTCCCCCTCAGTCCTCAGCTTTGCTCATCAGAAGAGCTGGCCCCTGTGTGAAACTTTTTGGTGTTTATCTGTGCGTGGATCTGCTGGAGTGGCAATAACTCTGTACACGGAGATTTATTTGTGTTTCAGAATATAGGTGCTAGCTTGCTGCTGCTCTTGGTGTGTTTGGGAAGTGGTCAGAGTTAAACGAGAAAGGCACCTTGGTGTTTGTAAGAGAGAGCACCTCCTGAGTCAAGAGTAGGAGCTCCTGAATATCTCCATGCACAGACAAGCGGAACCAGCAAAACCAGAAGGAGGAGAGGGAGAGTGGAGACACGAACGTGTGAAATCACAGAGCAGGCAGACAGGGCCTGGGGATGGAGCCAGAAGGTTTTTCAACAACAGTAAATGCTGTGCCTAGAGAAAAACCCTCTGTTGTCTCCCAGTGCCTTTTCCTCTGTGTGTGCTTTGTGTTCTCCCGTGTGGGCAAGCATCAGCCGTCGCTGTCGCAGGAGCTGGAGTAGGTGAGCAGGAGCAGAAGAGTGTCACAGTTTGATTCCGGCTGGGTGAAAGCCGTGTCTGCTCTAAGCGGCCCCGCGAGAGCTGCGGCCAGGAGACAAAGGAAGTGCTCTGACACGCGTGAGTTGGTTTTGGCTG